TTAATGTAATTACTTTCGGTAGCTTTGTATATTATGTTATTGGTTAAACATTTATAGTTGTTTCTGCAGTTACATTTAACGGTGTTATTTTGCTGCATGTTATTGTTAGTGTTGTGATTATTGTAATTGTTATTGGTTTTGTTGAGTATTTTTTATTTTGCCTAGTTATTATTCTCTCATACAGGTGTAACTAATTTTGATTGTATTCTTGTTGATAATTTCCTGTTTTTAGGAGCTCCTTGACACAATTAGAAAGAAAAAACATCTACCCATAAAATAACATACGCACAGGAACACGAACATACATATACACAACACAAACATACATAGACACGCATACAGGGTGAATCAAAATACTTTTAGAAACTTTGAGTGTGGGTTCCTCACATCACAGCAAGGTAAAATGTCCATATAAGTATATGTCCAAAAGGCCATCGTCGTACCTTAACATAGCAACTCATAATAAATGTTCAAAATGTCCCCCTCTTAATTCTACACACGGGTGAACCCGTCCGATCATTGACTGGAGGATCCTTTCAAATACTCCCACACGGTGTCGAATGATATCCCAGGCGCCCATGACACGTGGATGAATCCTCTCTGCATTATTCATCTCTGCTGCATAAACCAATTGTTTTAAGTAGCCCCACAGATAAAAATTCAAAGAATTGAGGTTGGGGGAACCTGCAGGCCATGGAACTGGCCCTCCCTACCTCTCCATCTTTCATGGTAAATGTCGACCAGTTCATCGCGAACACTGTGACTAAAATATGCTACAGCCCCATCATGCATGAACCACATGCGCCTTCGTATTAGCAGAGGTACATTCTCTAGGGAATCTGAAAGTTTGTTTGAAATAAAGTCCCTGTAAACAGCTCCTGAAAGACGTGCTGGGATAACATACGGACCTATCAGACAGATACCTACAATTCCAGCACACATATTAATCGCAAACTGATACTGATTTCTAGCTTGTATTTTGCCATGGGGATTCCAAATATTGGTTGTGTAAATTTGTTATTCCATCTCTTCTAAATGTTACCTCATCCATAATCAAGACTGAAAAGACAAATAACCGATCTGCAGCTTTCTGCCACAAGCCGTCGGTAAAAGTTCTCCAGTGGTGAGTGATCAGAGGGCGAAATACACTGTACACGTTGCAAATTATACGGACACAGGAGTGTATATCTCATAGAACCATCTGCTATAAGATGTACGATATGATAGCAGCACTAGACGTCTCCTGATACTTCGATCGTCACCGACAACTTGTAGAATGTGTTGTTCGTGGTCAGGCGTGCCAGTGGATCTGTCTTCCTCGATCTATAGTTTATGGTGCCACAAATGCTGTCTCAGCAAGGCAATGATTAGCAGAAGCAAAAGTTGGATGGCTCGGCTGCCTTCGGTCTCCAACCGCAATCAGATACAGCCGTGTAGACTCGCGTCCATTAGAATTCGGTTATGTAAAAATCATATCTGCCTGCTCACGATATGAATATTCTGCCATTGTTAAACGGAATACTTCACATTTAACTCATAACTACACAGGTTAAAGGTTGTTTTAGGTGGTCTCTACGTATAGTAATCCAAAAGATTGAGAGATCGGAGAATGTACAGGCTATGGAACATCATGGTAGATGTCATCCACAGCATCGCGAACAATGTGAATAAAATGTGCTGGGGACCATCATGCATGAACCACATGCGTCTTCGTACATCCTCTAGCAGATCTGGAAGTATGTTCGAAGTAAACTCCATATACACACGTGCTGGGATAACATATGGACCTACCGCATAATCACCTACAATTGCAGCCCACATATTAAGAGTTAACTGATGCTGGTGTTTAGCCTGTATTATACCCTAAGGATTCCGATCCGGTCACAAATTTTGTTTGCGTAAATTTGCTATTCCATCTCTTCAAAATGTTGTCTCATCCGTAAACAAAGCTGAACAGATAAAGAAGGGATCGACAGTTTGTTCAATAAATCATGGGCAAAAGTTCTCGCATGGTGAGTGATCGCAGGGCAAAAGAAATCTGCTCACTTTGCAAGTGATACGGATGGAGGAGCTGCTTTTGAAGTACCCGCCATGCGGTACAATAACAGGTACGACATGCCACCTGACGTTTGCTGATATTTGGATCGTCTCCGCCAGCCTCTGGTATGTGTTCTTCGTGGTCAGATGACCGAGTGGATCTCGGTTTTAATCTATCCATAGTTTGTGGTTTCACGGATCCTGTCTCAGCAACGGGACCATAAACAGCAGCAAAGGTTGGATGACTCTACTTACCTTCGGTCTGGAAGCACAATTTGATACAGCCGAGCAACCTCGCGTTCATTAACATTCGCCCGGCCATATGTAAAAATCATGTCTGCCTGCTCACAAAATGAATATCCTGCCATTGTTAAACGGAACACTTTTCAGTTAACTGACTACAACAGACGTTAACGTTGAAGCCAGGCTAGACACAAATGCACATGAATGACATATGTATCCTAATGTGCATGGCAACACAGCGACAATTACCGTAAAGTTTCCTTAAAATGAATAACTCAAAAACAAAGAATTTTTCAGACATATGTTTATATGGACTTTTGTCCTTGGTTTGTTGTGAGGAACTCGCCCACAATGTTTGAAAAATATATTTTAGACACCATATATATATATATATATATATATATATATATATATATATATATATATATATATATATATATAGCAGCATGGCCTGGCGTTGTCTGGGCTTGATTCAAAAATCGTACGACTCATACAGCAATCGCTATCACTTGACATAAAATATTTTTGCCGTTCCTTGCCTTTAAAGGAGTGCCCTTTGCTGTACTGATGTTGCTACATGCCTTACTTCTTGCCTATCTCACACTGCGAATTTGTTCTAAGCTCTATACTAAACATTAAATCTGTTACAAAAAAGAACTAAACAGAATGAACACAAAACGATCAGCTTTAAAAAAGGACTCGTAAGTGGAAAAACCGAATGAAAAAAGAATGTTAACAACAAATACTTTTCCACACCCAACCCAGTTCTGCAGAATCAGAATCAACGTTGAGTTTAAGCAAGCGAATGAGCCAATTGGAGTAAAGTGCCAAGCAGATTTAAATTTTTCCCACTTGTGATGAATGCAGCTATCGATATGTTTGCATGCTAGCATGCTAGTTAACATTCGTGTCAGTCAGCTGTTGGCTCTCACGCTGGCCAATATAATCTTCCTGCCTATTCGGGGCAAGCAGCTATAGGCTCTCACTCTGGCCTGTAGAAAATGGCCGCAAACTATATGAAAACTGCCGTAGAAGCATGAAAAAATCGATTATTTCCACTATCGATGGGAGTTGGGAAATGCAAAGTTGGTCTTGGCCTTCCCACTAACTTGGAGCATGTGCATGTAAATTTTGGTGCAAATCCGTCGAACATTGCGGCCGTGCATTCGTTACACACACACACACACACACACACACACTGCCTTTATATATATATATATATATATATATATATATATATATATAGAGAGAGAGAGAGAGAGAGAGAGAGAATAGGAATTAAGAATACATATCAGTTATGATCATATCACCTTGCAAATTAAGATAATTTGCAAGGATTTTCAAACCGATCATATTAACAAGAAAAATAAAATGAAACTGGCTTAAAACGAATTTTAAAAACCAGATAGAGACAAAGAAAGAAAGAAAACCAGAAAAAAGAAATAGCAGAAGAAATAGGAAGAAACAATATAGGAAGAAGAAAAGTGAGAAACAAAAGGGTAGAGAGGGTGGTATTATCTAGACATTCGGATTAATGAGAGGACATATAAAATGTGGTCGTGAGCTGAACTTTATTGTTGTCATAAGTAAAAAAAATTAGTTGAAAAATAGGGGAAAATATTTTATAAATCTTATATTAACAAATTACTATTAATTCAATATTAAGAGAAATAATTATATATTTACATTAAATAGAGATAATTCCAGAATTAATGATATATTAAAATATCTAAAAATAATTAAAATTATTTAACAAAATATTAAAAAATATATATTGATTTAATTATTTTCTTATTAGGAAATATATCATTTAATATTCTCCATTTAAGAAGTCATATTAAACTATTATCATCTACAAGGAAATAAAAATTCATAGAATTTTTTTTTTTTATATATAAAAACCAATAATAGAGGAAGATCAAATGAAAAAAAAATGTACACTTCAAATTAGAAAATTAAGGGCTTAAAGTAGTGCATATTAAATGATATTATGGTCAGGTAACATTAAAAGAAAAATATGAAGTCAATTTAGTAAGTAATAACTGCCAACTGATGACTAAACAAAAGAAAACAGTAAAAAAAATAATTAAATCTAAATAATTTATATAATTATTATATAAATTATATTATCATTACTAAATAACAATATCATTATATTATTAAATAATATATAATTAAATATTATTAAATATTAATATTTTGATTTAATTAAAATAAATAAAATATTAAAATATATTAAAATTATTAAATATTATTATATTAAATATTACATAAAAAACATAAATACCTCATTATTTATTACTACATACATCAGTTATAAATACTCCATTAATTATTATTATTAATAAAGTATATATTGGTATATTACACATCAATACAATAAATTGATATTATATATTAATAAATTTAAATTAATATGCCACTTATCATTACATTAAATAATACTATTATATTATTAATTATATCAACACATCATAAATAATGTTATTAGAATAATTAAATTCGAAAAATCCAGATATACTTTTGAACCAAAGGAACGAATTAATGCCAAATGTCGTCACCGAAGTAGATTTAAACTTAACTAGACTCTTACTTAACTAGCGTGATCTGTTATAATTTGACAGATGAACAACGTACAGGACCGTAACTATAGAACACCCAGTGAGGCTCGAAATCACAAATCTGTTGTAATTGGTCTAGTGGGACAGGTTTGATAACAATTACACCCCGTCGAAGTGCCCTCGCTCAATGATAGATAGATAGATAGATAGATAGATAGATAGATAGATAGAGAGGGAGTTCGATAGATGAAAAGACAATGGTAGATAGATAGAGAGAGAGAGAGAGAGAGAGAGAGAGAGAAAGATGAATAGACAATGATAGATAGATAGATAGATAGATAGATAGATAGATAAAGAAAGAGCTCAATAGATGAATAGACAATGGTAGATAGATAAAGAGAGATCTCGATAAATGAATAGACAAGGGTAGATAGATAGATAGATAGATAGATAGAGAGAGAGAGTGATAGAGAGAGAGAGAGCTCGATAGATGAATAGACAATGGTAGAGAGAGAGAGAGAGAGAGAGAGAGAGATGAATAGACAATAATAGATAGATAGATAAAGAGAGAGCTCGATAGATGAATAGACAATGGTAGATAGATAGATAGATAGATAGATAGATAGATAGATAGATAGATAGATAGATAAAGAAAGAGCTCAATAGATGAATAGACAATGGTAGATAGATAAAGAGAGATCTCGATAAATGAATAGACAAGGGTAGATAGATAGATAGATAGATAGATAGATAGAGAGAGAGAGAGAGTGATAGAGAGAGAGAGAGCTCGATAGATGAATAGACAATGGTAGAGAGAGAGAGAGAGAGAGAGAGAGATGAATAGACAATAATAGATAGATAGATAAAGAGAGAGCTCGATAGATGAATAGACAATGGTAGATAGATAGATAGATAGATAGATAGATAGATAGATAGATAGATAGATAGATAGATGAATAGACAATGATAGATAGATAGATAGATAGATAAAGAGAGAGCTCTATAGATGAATAGACAATGGTAGATAGATAGAGACAGAGAGAGAGAGATCGATAGATGAATAGATAATGGTAGATAGACAGATAGATAAAGAGATAGCTCGATAGATGAATAGACAATAGATAGATAGATAGATAGATAGATAGATAGATCGATCATATTTTACTTCCTTTTCAAATAAATTAATTTGAATAATCGGAATACCAAGGAACTCTATCGACCCATTTCTTTCATGACAATCGTCCGGGGCAAAAAGTTTTCTTTTATCATTTGATGACTGTATTGAAATGTAAACAGAGCAAAATTAATGCTGCACTGGATTACCAATTTTTTTTATGAAAAACATACCAACAACCTTTCGTGGCTGGGGTATCTTGAACGTTAATTGGCTTGTTCAATATTTTCAGCGAACATCTGTGCATTAAATTTGAATTCATTTGTTGTTTCTCTCATTCTCAATAACTTTTTTTATTCCTTTTTTTTTTAGTTTTAATCTATTGATCAGATATTCACTTCTTTATTTATTGAAAACTCTACTTGAATTTGTTTATCTCGGAAAAATCGTGATTTATGTAAGTTCAAGCTGATGACAAGTCTATGAGGAGCCGTTCCTACGTTGCTGTGTTTTTTTTTAATATCTACGTACACTCGTGCATACATCTGTGTACGTAATTACTCAGCCAATCAAGTACCATTCGTGATGCATACTTGGGCGATCATGTCACTTTCGATTCGTGACCGACTAGGCAGAGGATTTTTACGCAGTAGTTTGCCGTTTATTTCTGCGGTAGATAGGTTGACAACCAACGCTAAGTGGCCCAGCCTGTTCTGTTATAGCTGGGGAGATAAGAGACAGGTCCATACCTTTCCCAAGGGTGTTTGCGCGTAAGTCAGTGTAACGAACCGAACTTGAATTCGAACTCGGTTCGCCGATTTCTCATCATCCAGAAGATATCAACACGACGCACACCAAAAGCCGTCCTTTCAAAAATGCATTTCATAATTGTCGAAAAGAATGATTTAATTTTCTTCGTTTCAAAATTGAAGATAAAGGAAAACAAGAAATGTTTTCAGCAAATATTGCTTTGTAATTTTTTTATGTATTTATTTTTTTTTTTTAATCAGTTGATTCCAAGCAAGGCGATAATGCCACTGAAACACAAGGAGCTCTTGGGAATGAAAGAGAATGAGAAAACATCAGATGGAACCGGAAACCCAACCCTAAACAGGAAACAAGGGATAAACCTGTATTCCTGTTCAAAAGAATAAGCAGGATTGTGAACAGTGCGATAGGCTAATCTATCTACTCCTATTTATTTAATTTTCAATGCCATGTCCCTTTATGATCTAGTCGATCAACGATTTATTAATTTGTTTTGTTTAGCTATATATAAACACCTTATGGGTCATTTAATGTTGAAATTTAATTTTCTTGGATGCTTTAAAGTAATAAAAATATGTTATTCTGCTTTCGCAATTGAATACATGGTAGATGATACTCAGCTTTTGTGCATATACATGTAGGTGTGGACATAATTACTAAAGGTGGCGATATATGTTTCATTTTATATTTTAGAATAGAGTTTAATTTATTTAAGAAATTGTCGGATATTATATGAATTAATGTCATGAGTTCTTCCATGAGAGGTGGCTGATTTCATTTCGGGATATATCATCCTTTGTTTGATTTAATGGAGAATTAAATATTTTGAACGATTTTTTTGTCTCGAACTAAATATATTTTGACCACAACTGCCTGCCTTCAACTAAATATATTTTGACCGCAATTGCTTGCCTTCAACTAAATATATCTTGAACGCAATTGTATGCTTTCAACTAAATATATTTTGAAAGCTATTGTATGCCTTCAACTACTCGTAAAATGTATTGTTGATCATTTTTCTTTTTAAAATTTATATTGTTGGTTATTTTACTCTAAATAAGTATTTTTATACTGTAATAGTTGATTTTGTTTGGGAGTGAATTCCCTATTTAGTTGCTACCACCCTGAATCAGGGTGGACCTGGGAACAACAGTAACAATTGAGGTGTGTCCACGCTTCTCAAAACATCTCGATCAGAAGCCTTGCTGCCGGATATAGTTAGATTGATTGATTTTATTCTTTACGGCTTATCTACCTTTTGCAGGTTATTTTAAGTACATCTAAGCTTACAGCAACTGGCATATCTAAGTGGTCTCCCAGCTAGGTAGAGATCAGTCTCGAGTTTCACACCTACGCCCTCCCTGCAACAACTGCATGTCTTCACTATCTCATCTGAACACGGATTTAACCGCGGCTCTTCAGGGACGACGTCGAGTGACAGGATGTCATCTTCACTGCTGATGACACCGAAGATCATGATTATCGCTAGAAGCATCGTCTGCATGACTCTGGGCAGGTCCTTGACAGTTGATCTTCTTGTCTTACCAGTTCCTCTCGTCGGAGTAGAATCCCAGCATGTATGGCCCCAGCGTGTGGTTCAACATGTTTATCAGTTTCTTAGTGTGCTTGAGTTGCTTTACCTCTAACGCACTGAATAGAAATTGTCCATTCCTCATCTTGTATGAAGAGTGGCGTTGTCCTCATGCTCCACCATTCTGATGAGCTTTTCATCCACAGCTTTTTTTCCTTGCAATGGCACACATCTTCTTTCAGGGATCATTGTTGATGACCTCATGGAATTCAGCAAACAACTCTGTCATCCTGGAGACGTCAGATCATCGATCAGGGTGTTAACACACAGGCACCACAACATTTCGTTATATTAACTAGAAAGTACTTGAAGAATAAGAAAAAATATGAAATACAGACAGTTTATACACAACTTCGAACATAATACTAAACTTCTTATCCGGAAGTTGGAAAAGTGTAATAAAAAAATATTGTGTATTTAGGCAGCAATCATTCATTTATTCATGTTTCATTAAAAACGACAGCGAAGCTTTTCATTTAATTTTTCTTGTGTTCGAACGAGTGTTTTCTTCTTTGGACACAGAGTGTGTAGAAACTGTCCAGAGTTTCTACGCATATATTCAAACAGCAAAGTAAATACTTCATGACCACTACTATCCATAATTTATACCCTAAAATTATTTACTATTTAAGCACTAGTTATATATATTAATAACAAAGCACAGACACAAGTGTGCATGTGTTTGTATGCGCGATTTTGTATGCATATATATATATGAAGACATATGGTTTTAAGATCTGCTATATTTATAGGATAAACAGCACAATATCAGAGATAGAGAATATGTAAATATGAATATAAAAGTGAACATTGAAGTCGACACTCAGAGGCGACAGGCTGTTTCATGCTGTACGCAATCGCCAGGCGGCCTGTAAACCCTTGCGTGCTAGTGGATTCCTGTCTTGCTTGGGGTAAAACGCTTAAATATATATATATATATATATATATATATATATATATATATATATATATATATATATATATAGATAGATAGATATATATATATATATATATATATATATATATATATATATATATATATATATATATATATATATAGAGAGAGAGAGAGAGAGAGAGAGAGAGAGAGATCTATGATCACTAATGTTCTGAACGGACACGGCACATAAACTTAGACGTTTTGACATGCAGCTAAGAGACCTTTAAGTTCCAATATCGTCAATGGTTTTACTTTATTTCGTCATCGGAAGTCAAAACAAATTATGCGTTACTTAAAAAGCAAAAGCAAGGGAAATCAAGTAAAATACGAACTCGTAAACATAAATAATAAATCTTGTTTCACAAAATAGGTTAATTTCACTATTGTTTCTTTATGAAAATTAAATAAAAAACACGAAAAGCAATAACGTATCTTGTCAAAGAAAGGTGTGTAATCTCGTCTAACATCGATGGACGAATTACTCGACAGACGAGAGTCGGAAATAATGTGTTGTTTAAACTTCTTCAAGTCGGTTGTTCGTCATTTCCTGATTAGAAAATCGTCGACAAAATATCTGTCTGAATTGAATTTCAAATATGGACTCCATATTACTCACTTTTCGTTATTCGATTTAAGTAAATACTTCGTTGTTTTTATTGCCTTTTTATAATCACTTGTTTTTGCAGCCGGTTTACAAAACTGCGTGAATTCGAAATAAAGAAGTGGCTTCGAATGAGACTTTGTATCTTATACTTTGAAGCTCTTCTTTCATGCACGACATCTTAAACATTTAGGCAGCCAAAGCTTTTATTCTCAACTTATTTACAGCGGAACAAATAAACTGAAGAATTGCTGAAAAATAGTTTCATCGATTTTTGCCTCGTCGTTCACCAGGGATTTTTTCACCATAACCAGAAGAGCACATTTCGGAATGCCCTCTTAGAATTCCCGAGACTATTTATACTATTTTCTAAGCAGCATTCCCCCTGTAAAGAGAAGGAATGTCTACTGAATCTAAATGTACTCTGCCTGTGATATACGTTATTATGGTAATTTTTGATCATTGCTGTTTACCACTCTTGTTTTATACATTTTTCTATAAAATCTTCGGCTTTAAAGCCCTAATCTGAAGGTTAATTTTATTAATCATGGCAACGTGAACCTGCGCAGTTAGAATGAAAGCCGTTTCATTCTGCGCAGATTTAAAGAAATAGCAGCCGTTTTTATGACATATGCCGTAATTCTCAGTTTCAAATTAATAGTCAGCTTACGAGTTTGATGTTTTTAAATCTATATATAAAATTCTGTTACTCCCGTTATTCCGTCTGTCCGTCTGTCATCACACCCTCTGAAATATCCATACACTGACCGATCGAAACCAAATTTGGGAGAGAAGTGTAAACAGGTAAGGTTACTAGGGTGCGTAATTAGTACAATAAATTTTCATTATTTTTTGTTGGAGGGGGGGTAATCTAAAGAATTATTATTTAACATACAAAATACTCCCTCTATTTTAAAAATAATTTAATGATTAAAATATCAGTTTTTTTTTAAGAATTCCACCCCAAGCAAAGTGGGAGTGCCACTAGCACGCAAGGGGTTACGGAGAGTGAAAGTAAGAGAAAAGAGGGGTGTTTAATGAAAGGATAAAGAGAAGGACGGGGATCAAGATCAAGGCATCAGAAGATGTCGATTGACATTATATTTAAATTTTTGAAGATTATAGTTATCAGGGAAACAAGTAA